GGGTGGTGGGTGGGGGGTGGGGGGGGGGGGGGGGCAGTGAGATCCAGTTTTCCCCATTGGCGGAAGCGATAGCCCGAGGGGCTTATTGCACTGCATGCACCGGCTGCAGTCTCTGCCTCCTGTGCCGTAACCTCCGTCCCACAAATTGTCAGCAGCCATGTTCCCCCTGAGTGGGGCGGAGGTGGGCAGATCTGGGGGTGTGTCGGTGGTGCTGCACAGCTATTGGACTGCTCCAGTAGGCGTGATGACAGTGCAGCGATTGGGACAGGCTGGAGCCCTGGCGGAGGAGATGGTGAGGAGTCAGCTTGGGGGAAACAATCGCCCGATGATCCCACGATGGTCTTCCAGGCTTCTGAGCACGGGGTGGTCAGATAGTTCAACAGGATTCTGAATGGGGGGGAGGGGGTACAGGGAGAACATTCCTTATTCCTTAGGTCTGCCACTGCAGTACAACTCACACTGGAAAAGGAGGGCAGCACAAGCAGATGTACTGTACATGTGCTGAAAAGAAGCATTCTGATAGGAGGAGAAAATAAAATGAACAGAGGGATGAGCTCATCAGTCTGCATCTACTAGTTCACATTCCAATCGCAGGCTGGGGGTGGCAAGTTGACCTAGCTGCATTGCGCTAACTGCATTAGAGGTAAGCCAGGTCACCAACCTAGCTGTTCTATGTAAACCTTACAATTTGGTAGGAAGAATTACTAGACCCCTTGCAGGAAACTGTGCAAACTGTGCAACTGTGTATGGAAATTTGGGAAAACTCCTCTATATGTTTGTTATGTGTTTCCATTCACACAGCATAACAAAAAACATTTCTCACTTTTTAAGGTGCCCATACACCTTACAATTATCTGCAGATTTTCTGTGGTCAGATGAAAAAAGTGCAACAGATTGGCCCAGGTAGAGATTACTCCATCCACACAGTTAAGTGTAGATGGAGGAATCTGTTGCACCTTTTCCATCTGACCACAGAAAATCTGCAGATAATTGTAAGGTGTATGGCCAGCTTTAGATGTTTTGTTGTAGCAGACAACATAGCTGATTCCAGAGTTTTTTGAGCACCTTCACAGTGATCTATCCTTATAGAAAGACTTAGGACTGAAATTCGAGGATTATGTTTCTCTCATTAACTTCACTAACATTTGAATGCAGAAGTCAGGGTTGTAATCCTTTAACGGGAACATGTAAGAAATATACAACAGATGTTATCACAATTTGGCTGTGAAAATGGACATACACTTTAAGCCTGATTGGTCAGTGAGCAGCAGGCAGGGACTTTTGAATGTCTTCAGAGTTGGAAATCATACACATTAGGGAAGCAGATATTTATCTCCACTCAGCTATAAGGAGGGATGCATCTGATTGGCCTTATGTAAGTAAGAAAGTATAGAGTTCTTGGATATCTTCAATGGTGCTGTCAGTCTATGCCAAAGAACCTATAATTGGTGATAGTTACCACTTAGTAGAGAGTTAAAGGAGATCTATGAGGTGAGTGATTTCCACTCATCCTCATAGTTAGAGCCGACCCGTGACAAAATAGCTGTCACGGGTCGGCTCTATCGATCGGTAAGTGAGCAGAAACATGTACCGATCTGCTTACTTCTTGATCGTCTCCCTGCAGTGAGCGGTGACTGTCAGTCACCGCTCCCCGCAGGGATTCCCCTCTCCGATCCTCCAGTGCTGAGTGGAGGAACGAGCGGAGGAGGGGGCGGGCACAGCTGGCTCTGCCTCTAGATAGGCAGATCCTGCTGTCACTGAGGCAACTGGGTGGATCTCGACAGTAATGTCGGCATCCGTCCCGGCTGCGGCACTCACAGTTTATCGCAGGCAATAGCCCGCAAAATACTGGGCTTTGGGTCACGGGAGGACGCTAGTATATGTCCTCATGTGACCCTAAAGAGAACTATGGGGAAAAACACTTACCCCATAGTTCTCTTTTAAGACCTCTTTTAGCAATGAGAAGGGGTGATCACACTGATGGGTATCAAAATCAAACCACTTTAAGGGAGATTGTCTAATTATAACTTACAGTGGGTTCAGCTAGTCAGAGGAGAAGTAGACCCTCCGTTGGCGATCCCTTGTCATGCTATCAGATCAGGTACAGGTAGGTTTTTGTGGTAGCAGTTTAGAAACATTGAGCAGCTCTACCCTCTTATCTCCCGCTGCTTGAACCTTGTGCCTGATAAAGCTTCCACCGGAGCCTATACTGTTTTTGTGGTAGGGTATATAACTACACGAGAAGCTGGGTAACTGACTTGGGGGCTACTGTGGACGAAGCCACCTGGCACCAGATTTGAGCTACCCTTAAATTGTGCACACGTAACTCCACTGCTGTGGAAACTAATGATAAAGTCCTGTTCCGATGGTACATGGTGCCCAGTCGCCTAGCTCATGCCAAACCGGGAAGCTCGTCTTACTGTTTTTGCAGCTGATTGACACAGGGCGGCTATTTTCACACTTGGTGGACTTGTCCAATTACCTGGAGCTTTTGGTCCCAAGTGAATGATCTGATTAGTACTCTTCTCCAGAGGCGCATTGCCCTGACGCGAAGTATCAATTTACGCTACTAACGCACGTGCTCACAGCTGCAAAACAAGTAATAGCTAGCGCCTGGCTGCCAGGATTCTTACTCCGCGGTTTGTGCATGCGTATGCGCCTGGTGTAGCCCATAGAGCTGTACCAGATGCGGCATCTCTGCGTGAACGTGCGCACGTTCGTGTGCGCATAGGCATGCGCCGCCGTGTTGTTTGAATGTTTGCACCCTCTGTGTTATAAAGGCTGTGACTACCAATCCTCCTATGCTGTCAGATTTGTCAGCTTCCCTGTGTTCCTGCATTCTGTTACCGAGTTGTTTATCTGTTAATGACCCGGCTTGGCTTGACCTTCTGCTTCTCTCCAGTGCTTTCAACCCTTGGCTTGCTCCTGACGTTTGTTCCTGTCTTATCCCTGGTACTGCGTTGCCCGCATGTTGAGGTCCTCGGCCTGTCCTAACGATTCTGCTGTATCGGTTATCTGCTTGGATCTGCACCCATCCCTGCATCCACTGCTCGGCGGATCCATCATCTACTGGCACTCCTGCCCCTCTGTGCCCCGGTGCTCCTGTACCCAATCCAGGCGTCCCGGGACCGGAGCTGTGAGAGAGGCCGCCCTCGTCACTTAAGACTCCCCTAAGGTACGTGACACTGGGTTTCTGATAGTTTGTGTATCTCAGCAGTCAAAAATAGGCTTCATTGAGTTATGATTAATGAGAAACTGACTGGGTCTCTAATTTTATACCGCCTACTTTGATAGATCTTTACTGGAAACCTAAATACTAGATCTTCTCCTTGGGTATTATGTTGCCAATTATCCACAATCCCCTCTGCCATTTAGCTTTCTCCCTTTCCCTTCTTTCTTCGACTCCTTGACTTCCTCCGGTCCTTCTTTCATTGTTCCCTCTATTCTCTTTCCCTCTTCTTTCACTATTTCTTTCTATCCATTGGTCCTATCCGGTCTATTTTGGGAGGTTAACAAACAAATTTCTGCAATCATACACTGCAATTAATGGTTAACTCAGGTACACGCATGTGCTATCTTGTACAGTTGATATACCTGCTGTACTGGTGGCTATCATGATTTTCGTTCTGTTTTATATGTAAATAGTAGCTTACAAAATGCTGCAGTTGCTTTTGTTATTTTCTTATAAACCAATAAAAATGTATTGAACAAAAAAAAAAGCATAATTGAACTTCTATTAAGCTGTATTACGTCATATAGACATAACACAAACTGTAACAGCAACTACCGCCAGTCAGCTCTGTCTAATTTGGCGGAATAAGTTTAGTACTGTTTATATGAAGTAATTAACAGGTACTTGCGATTTGTTGAGCTGCCACCTCCGAGGAAACCTCCTGGTGTTGACGGTTAGAGAGAGAGTCTTTGATGCACGGGTGGTTCCCTTGAAATAATAGTAGATTCAATCTGGGACAATTCCTCACTCCAATGTACTGTAGCTTTAAGAGATGCAGCAATCCAAGGATCAGGTATGGTATTGCAGATCTGATGGATGCTGGTAGTAGAGCTTGTGTAGATATCAAGTCTGGCTGGAGAGGGTTAGCCTGGCTGCAGTGGTCTGTCGTTAGGAGGAGAGATGATCCTAGCCTGTCATGCAGACAGGAAGCTGCAGTGCCAGAGAGGTTGTACAGGAGCAGATCGGAGTAGAGCGGAGGTAGCCGGCAAGGGAAATGCTCAACGTCTTAAGTATACTAAGATGCCGAGCATTTCAAATCTCCTGGCTTTATTGTGACAGCTGAGGAAAAACGTAGTGGCGCAGAGGGAGTAGGCAGCGCCGGATGCCGCTCTGGGAACGCGGCGGGTAGGTATGTTACATCAGGTGGCTATACAGGGTGTATGGTCAGCTCTGCAGGCACTCATGTGGCTATCAAGGTTTATTGGTGGGCTGTGTGGACTCTCAGTTGGCTGTGCGGGGTCTATGGTGTTCTGTACAGACTCTCAGGTGGTTATGCGGAGCGTATGGTGTGCTGTGCTGTGCTGACTCTCAGGTGGGCAGTGCAGGTTCTATGATGGGCTGTGTGGACTTTCAGGTGGCTATGCGGGGTATATGGTGGACTGTGTGGGGTCTCAGGTGGCTATGTGAGGTCTATGGTTAGCTGTGCAGGGTTAATGGTGGGCTGTGTGGCTCTCAGGTGGCTGTGTGGGCTCTATGCTGGGCTCTGCGGGGTTATTGGTGACCTGTGCAGCTCTATGCTGGGCTGTGTGGGGTTATTGGTGGGCTGTGTGGTCTTACCTGGGCTCCCGGTCGGTCTCGGCGGTCTGCAGGCGGCATGGAGGAGTAACAGAATTTCGTCCGGCGCGGTAAACAGGCGCCGCTGTTCACAGGAAAGCTGCCGGGGCCCTGCTGGGGACCTCGGCAGGCTTTCTTTGGAGTGCGGAGCCTGTTTACAGCACTGAATCAGTTTAAAAATTTCAAGCCCTTTGTATCGGGACATTTTCACGAGTATGAGTGCACGTGAAAATGCCCTGTTTCAGCACCGATACCAGTATCGGTGCATCCCTAGTAACTTTCCCAGGATGCACTGCTTGGGCACATTGCATCATTTATGCCAAAGTGGACCAGGAAGTGGAAAAATAGAAATTGTAATAAAAATAAAAATATATTTGTTTAGCTAATGAATGTAAGATGATTTCATATCAGCATGCAGAGCTGTATTCTGATTTTTAGTCAAAGGGGGCAAAGGCCCAACTTAACTGATCATCATGTTCATGGCCCTTGAGTAGTCTTACTGTATCTGTGTATATATAAATACATATAGTGCACATTATCAGCATCCTATAAAAAAAAAACAATATGTAAAGAAAACAAAGGAATACTAAGATTTGAGAATTCTATTCTATGTCCTTCTGTTCCGAACAGTTTGCTTCATTCATGTTTTGTGTGCACAGGTCACGGGGAATACTGCTGTCAGTAAATACTGGATGGAATTACCTCTTAATTACTGTATGGGAGAGGTGATGCCCGCTACGGCAGAACCCATGCTCCATGTAACTCAACATACGCCCTTGTATTACACAGATGCTGTGTCATGATTACCTGACGCCAGGTGTCCCTGTGATTCAGGTTAAAGGGGAGGGAATGTCAGACTGAACACTACAGGCGTGCTAAGCTACAGGGAGGAGAACAGTTATCACAAAGTACACAGGTAGTAGAGACGGAGAAGGCTTCACACACTGCTGCTTAACCACAGGTGACCTAGAGATGACTTAATGGAAGCAATGTGGTCGTACTAGTGCACCGGCGTAAGGTGGGTTGGGTTTGTGTGTTGGTTGCAGAGGTATGCATAAATAATTATATTTATTTAGAGAGAGATGGGAATAGAGAACCATCAGCGGTGTATATGTTTGTATGTGAGATGTTTGTCGTGTTATTGCGGGGATGGTGCTTTAGAAATGAGCATACATCTGATGTAATTCTGTATTTAGCGTCAGGCTATGTCGGCGTGATGCAAATGTGTGATGAGACCTCTCTCAGGACCTCTCTCCCTGGCTCTCAGGATTTAGTTCAAGTTCCTCTTTGTGCATCGGCTTATCTACTTGAAGAATTTGCTTGAAAACTAGGTGGGGGCATACAGTAGTATGTTTGTGTAGGAATAAGCTCACATGTAACATCATATAATCCTTCACTTCAAATGCCTGGTGATCCTAATGTGCCTGGGTGGGAAACTTTGTACATCGTTTATGTTTGACAGTTTGACTGAAATTCTTTATACCTATATGTAGAAATGTGATCTTATGTGAATGTATTTTTTTGCTAGTTTAAAATATAAAGTTTTGTGTTGATGATCTGATGTGAGGTTCTGATGGTCTCCTTGATGTCTACCATGATGGTTAACGGTAGATACATTGATACCCAGGCTTGATTAAGAATGTAAAGTACAACATGTAATATGAAGAGAGGTATTATTATTGCATGGCCAGTCATGCTGCATATCTATTGGAGGGTCTTCAACTCCAGGATTGTATTGTTCTGTATGTCAACTGGTGTGAGATAATCATGATGTGTTTGGGTGGCTGGGTACAGTGGAAAGGGGGCCAAATTTGTCTCTTTATATGCATATATCTATAGGACCTTCTGTGTGAGAAGTAAGAGAACTGAGGCTGCAAGCTGACTGTTATGTTGGCTTAGGGAGCGTGAAAATTGACTTAGCACTAGCACCACACCACTAGGGTTATGCACCGTAATGAATATTTGGTGCATTGATGCAATGTGGTGCCAATCATTAATAATGGAACCCCTATGCACCTTCACAATGCTGTATCAAAAATGCAGCAGGTCCAATTTTTGGACCACGCTTGTGCACTCTTAAATGCACCACA